CAAAAAAATCTCGCCTTTGTTAGTTAGACTAACCCATGAAAAATGAAATAAGTTTTTCAAATCAAAAATAAATCACAGAAATATAGATCCAGCCCCAAACTAATCAGATCAGAAAGTGTTTGTATCAAAGCTAATATTTTAATTTTTAACAGGAAAAATCCCAGAAAAAGAATGAGTAAAAAAAATAAAAAAGGAATGCTTATAAAAAAAAATTTTGTCTTTTTTTTCGAGATTTTCTTTGCGGCTAAAGCACATTGTGTGAGGAAGGAAATTTTTCGATTTTTTTCGATTTGCGGAAAAAAATCTGAATTCGAGAAATAAATTGTCTGGAAAATATTTTCTGTTTGTATTTCGAGTTGCTTGTATTTCGAGAAAAAGAAGATTTACTACATTCGAGGCCTTGTTGACAGACTGGTGATAAGCAGTGAAAACAGAAAGATGTAACATCAAACTTTAAGTTTTTATTTGACAGTTTGGAAAGTTAAGACTTGACCACTGGACTTTGTGTTTTTTGCCACACGTCGATTACTAGAGGATTTAGGTTCCGAGTTCTTCCCTTTTCTGAACATTAGAAGAGTTGAAACTGCTATCGCTTCGATAGCACATCCAGTGACTTTCCCAACAGCATTATAAGGACCAACAAACTGAAAAATCAAGGTTTGCTACCGTTGAAATGTAGATATCTTACATCGAAAGAGAAGATTTCGGCAGTAGGCCACATTGAACCACAAAATGAAGGAAGGAAATCAAACACTAGCACAGTTACAGTATCCAGTAGTGCAAGACGATTTGCCTGAAAAACTATTAAAAATAATTTTCCTTTTTCAAATCGTACCTTCGATATTCTATTATTTTTGCCTTTATGCTTCAAATTGTTCCAAATGAATAACTTCATTGATAGCATTATTGATAAAATTACTATTGTTGAGAATATCGACTGAAAGAAAGTTTTATAAATTAATTAACCAAGGAAGCTCAGAAATACCGCTTTATGAATGGTCCAGAAATAATAAAAGCACTTATTAACCGCACAGCCAAAAACTCGACAACTTGGAGGGATGATCATGTCATAAGAGCATAAATTGAAGAGAACGAATTCTTCCGAGACTCCAAATGCGATACCTACTGCTAAAACAGTCCAATTAGGGACCAGGTTTCTATAGGAGCGATATGTAATGGGAAAATATGCAGCTATGACTCTTTCGGCAGATATGGAAAGGGCGATAATAGACCGGCAAGCGGCAAAATTTGACCAAGGAAGGGCAAGGTAAACTATCAACGGACGGGACTGGGCAATAAATTTTTGGGCTTCAATGGAGAGCAGGATGAAGATAATGTAGGAGAGTACTGAATCTGACTATACATATCAATTGAAACATTTTATAGAACTTACGAGATGCTCCAAAAAATATGTCCAGTGTGAACCGATAGTAAAACAAATGCATATCTGCTTTTCGCCTTGATTTGTTCCTGAAAATATATAACTGCTTTTTGTAGTGTTTTTTTTTGTTTTCTACTGACATCACAACCTTTATGACTAAATTGATATTGAGCAATATCGTGACCAGTGCGCAAATAATTCCTAACAAGCATACAATGGTTATGAGATTGTCCATTTGTTATGAAAGATTCAGTATACGTGCAAATGGGTTAATTCGCTTTCAGGAAGAGATGAAAGCTGATTGTGAAATGAAGTAAAATATTTCGTAGAGAGGTTTAGGCAAGCTTCTGTTTTTAGGAATAGATTTTTTCAAGAATAGGAACATTACATTTTTTCAAGAATAGGAATATTAATTTTTTTCAAGAATAGGAACATTAACTATTTTCAGAACCAGAAAAACGAGTCGGCTGATTAACAAAACGAAGGAAAGAAGGATATTAATCCTAAGAAGGGCCTTCGTTCTGAATGATGTACAAAAAATATTTGTCTTTGAATAACAAAAAGACAAGCTAAAAAACTAGTTCAGTTCAAAACTAATTCTGTCTAGAAATTCATGGGAGTATGGTTAGTCATCTTGATAGTGTGAGAGAAAACATAGAATGAATTTGATGAAATATTCTTTGAAAATCACAGACATATAGATTGAGTTCAAAACTAGTCAGATCAGAAAAAAACAGAAACCCAAAAAAAACAAAAATTTCAAAAAACATGTTTGCTGTTCTCCGAAAAAAAATTAATGGAAAAACCTCATTGACTCTGTTTTTCTGGATTTTTATTCTGCCGAAAATTCAATCAGAATGGTAAATTCTGCCGAAAATTCAATCAGAATGGTAAAAAAGCACAATAATTATATTTCTAGAAAAAATAACCATTTTCTCGGAATTCTTCGTATTAACTTTTTTACTTTAAATAACTTATACATAAGCTCGGCCCAATTTTGTTCAACACATCATCTGAACTTCCCATATAGATATTACCGTAATCACTCTTATGCACAGAATGCCCCCTCCCTATACCGTCCACTTGGAGAAATTTGTCTTCTATTTTGAAAAAAATGATATCACAAAAACAGTATGGATGTTGATTTTCTGATTCCTATATTTCTTTAGATGTTTTCAAAAATGATGTGCTTTGTTTTGTGTACTTTTGGTATAAAATACGTCTGAATTTTGGGACAAAGTATAGTTTCAAAATGTTGAAATTTCTCATTCCCTTTGCTGTTCTTTTGAACTTTGCTGCTTGTCGTTTTGTGGATGAAAACGACGGTAAATTTTGTGAAGCTGAGACGGAGAGATTCAAATTCTGTACTGAAACTTATGCCAATGTGAGTTGCTTTTTGAAAAAAAAAACAGTTTTCAATTTTCCACCATTTCAGTTCACCAGAGACTTGGTTGAAACCCGTAAGGAACTAATCAAGTTCAGCTCCACTGTTTCTCCATTAGAGTCACAATTGGGAGGGGAATTTAAAAAGTCGTTGAAATGTATTGGTGATTTGGAATGTAAAGGAGAACGGAAGCTGGTCAAGTTTCTATTAGACACATTGGATTTTTATACGGACCGAAAGATAGAAGCCCAAGAGTGCATGGAAGATGTAAGAATATCCATAATTTTTAAAAGCCTCCATAATATATCCCGTTACAGAAAGACATATCTCAATCACTTGGAAATTGCTTTGTCTCTCATAAAAAGTTCCCGTTGCCGAAAGGATTCTCTTCCACTGTCGTCCTATGTGTCAAAAAGGTTCTCGATAGTACTGACTGCAGTACAGAACAGAAAGTGGGACTGGAGAGAGGAGGTCGTGCAGTGGCCGATTTGTACGATCAGTCAGATATGGTCTTTGGGGATGAAAATTATGCAAAAAACTTTGATTTGAAATTCGATCCGAGAAAGTATGGATTGTGATTTTTTCTTGATATTATAATTGAATAAAGAGCATTTGAAAAACAATTATACCAAAAATTTGATGAGTACACATTTTGATGTATTTGATGAGTAAACTACAGAAAAATCCCAGTTGACTTCTCAGAACAATTAGTTTTTGATGCTCTGTTTTCAGACGAACAGATTTATAAGAAAATTGAAGTTTACTAATTTCTTACTCTCATTCATGTAAAATGCATTAAATAGCGTTTTCGGACAACAAAACGTTCGTTGGAATTGAACGAGAAGATAGGGCTCTTTCTCTTCCCCAGAATTCTCGTCGAAATTTAATTAAAGTTGTTGCAGACTATTCTTTTCAGAAAAAAACACATTCATCTACATTCTTGGAACAGCAGTCACTATCCTATTCTTTTATTTTTCTTTTTTAAGATGGGCGTCTGGGGTTTCAATTTCAATCATTTTTATCAGAACTTCCATACAAAAAATTATTAAGTATAACTTATAAGAACAAATGAATTCGTTTGTGCTCTAAAAAACGATGTATTCCAAAAAACAATTATTCAGAATCTATGATGGTCCGATGAGTGTGTGCCATGACTGAATCCTCTAATTACAAATGTTGTTGCTGCCTTCTGTTCCACGTACTTTTTTCTCATAATTCTGAACATCAGTGCAGATTCTATAGTGTTCCCCACAAGTTTTCCAACTAGATTGAATGGTCCAGCGTACGAAAACTGGAAAAGTTCAAAATCCGGCCATAGACTAACACAAAATGGAGGAATGAATTGACAAAAGAATGTGGTCACAGCGTCAATGATTGCTAATCGATTGGCTTGAGTCAAAGAGCTGTCAGACTTGCTCCATAAAAATAGACGGACACAAAACGCAGTTGAGAAAAAAACAATAGTAGATAAGATGACCTGAAATTGGAATTATGTTGTGGAATTTCAAAGAAAATATATCTGACCGTTTGATAAGTGGACCAGAAAGTTTTGAAGCATACATTCATAACACAACCAAGAGCCAAACAATTTTTTGGAACATAAATCACAAAATTACATAAGTTAAAAAATACAAAGTCTTGGAAAAGTCCAGAAGCCAAGGAGAACAAGAAAAATAACCAGATTGGTATTTTGGAGTGATAAACCCGATACTCGATTGGGAAGAAGGCTGCCTGGAAGTGTTCATCTCATTTACCGTGGAAAATGAATATTCTGAATTCATTGAAACCGAACCAAAAATAAACGTCAAAAGTGTTTACCATGACTCTATCACAACTGATAAAAAACTGGAACATCATTCGTGCCATTTGTAGGTTCGATGTTAACAATCCGAACCATAATACCAACAGTCTCGTATATTCGAAAAGTTCTGGCAATGTGTAAAAAGTGAGCACATGGCCTAAATAAAAAAACGTGGCAAATCCAATAATGACATCCAAATGAAATCGATAGTAAAACTGGGTCATATCATGGGTTTGGTGGTGTTTCTGACTAAGGATCTCGGAAATGGCAAAAAATTCGGGGGGTACAATGATTCGGGGGTACAAGGGGGTACAACTGATTTAGGGGTACAAAATTGATGATTCGGGGGTAAAAAATTCGTGGGTACAAAAATTCGGGGGTACAACGATTCGGGGGTACAAACTACCAATGATTCTGGGGTACAACTCATTTCATTTAGGGGTACAACGCTTGTGATTCGGGGGTACAATTTTTTTTGAGGGAGTTTCTGAATTTCAGAGCTCGAAAACATCAGAGTTTCAGAACTTCAGAATTTTGAAATTTCAGAATCTACGAATTTTGGAACTTCTGAATTTTTCTCATCTTCCTTTTTTCCATATTCCTCCGTTCTTCCCAATTTTCCGTTTTTTCGCAATATTTCGGTTTTTCTCCATTTTCCATTTTTTCTCAACTTTTCTCAATTTTCGTGGTAATTGAAATTTTTCTTATTTTTTAAATAATTTTGATAATTCGGATTCAATTTTTTTTCAATGTTTTAAAGACAAAACAGAACAATTTTATGTGGCAACAATTCATAGTTGAACAACACAACAGCACGTGCAAAGAATGCAAAAACAAAAAAAAAGGATTAGACAATTAAGAATGACCTTAAGATGAGAAAAAAAAATTGAAGCCAATTGGGGTTTATTTGAAGGAAGCTTGGTAGCGGGAAGGAGGACCTGAGTTTCTCTTTGACTTCTTTCTAGGCGGTGATGGACAGTCTTCTGGTGTTGTTTCGGTGTCTCTGTAATATATTAATGAGCTGATTGAACATTTAAATGAGTCGCTCACTTTGTCTCACTGTCGTCTGAATCATCCGAAAGTCGATGCATGTATCCAATCGGAAACTTTTCTTTGAGAGACATTGGTTTCACATGTTGTCCTGTGGAAACATCGGTCACTTCTTCAGAATCGCTTTCAGGCTTTCTCGAGCCCTTTTCTCCAAGAACATCACGAAGATCGATCTGTGAACTATGATCATTCGAGACACGATTTGATGGCTTCGGCACTGGATTGACATTCTGATATCCGAAAATATCATTCTCCTCATCAGAATCGCTGTCATACTTTCTTGGATCATCAGAAAGATCCATGCAAGAATCATGAGAGTTCAAGTGATCCACAGAAGGGTCAAGGACTAGATTGACATGTTCATCATTGGAATTACAACTAATTTCATCCTCGACGATATCTCCCGACTCATCGAAGACATTGGGTTTAGAATTCAAGCTATTCACATCACAATCACTGTCATTTTCCTCATCACTAGAAATATTCCCATCTGCTTTCCTTTCATCATCACCGCTTTCAGACTCGCCAGAGACATTTCTATTGACCTTCTTGAATTCGGATACAGTTCTCCCGCCGTTATTATGTGACCTTTTAGAGTACTTCCGGTTCGGGTATCTTTTTGCGTCTTTTCCGTCGTTGATTGATTTGATTTGCAAACTCCTCGACAGTGAAATCAAGAACTTTTCGCGAATATTCAGAACTTCTTGGCATTTTTTCGTTGGCAGTGTACTGAGTACAGCGAAGCTAAAAAAAAAACATACTCCAGTATGAAACGCAATTCAAACATACACATGTGAGCAAGTGATAGCAGGTTTTGAAGCACACTTGGGATCCTTGCATTCGATATTGTTTCGGTCGTTTTCACAACAAAAAACGATTTGTCATCTTTCTCCACAAGATACTGACCGGATTTATGGTAGATTACGTTCTTATTGAAGACTTCTCCAATTTTCATCTGTTTCGGCACACTTCTCCATACGGTTTTCGGCATTTCAAACACATGAGATAACGAAAAAGTACGAAATCCATGTTTTCGCAAAGCTTTAACTTGACTTTGTGCTGACAAAATTCCGGTTTTTTTGAAATTCGCGTATCGGATCAGCTCGCTCTTTCCAGTCAAAATCGACTTGCAAAATTCCTTTTTCTCATCTGTAAAACATATCCAACTTTAGATGTTTTTACAGTCAACCCTACCCTCGATAAATTCCAACAGCTTATCCAAGCAAGTGCGTCCATTTAGTTTTCGTGGAATCGCAATTTTGATTCGTGAATTAAGGTTCTCAATTCGATTCGTAGTTTAGAAGCAGCCCAGCCATCAGACGAGATCGGAGAGAATGGGTTGAAAAGAGATCTTCTTTTCTATCGAGCAACCACTTCTTTAGAGCCGGCGCAAAATTACACTTGACAATCTCCGCTTCCATCGCTTCTGAACTCATTACATTGAAAATTCCATTTTCAACTTCATCTCCAATCTGTCTTCCGAAAATTTTGTTCAAATCTGACTGGCTTATATTCTTTTTACTTTGAATGAATGTCAAGTTGTTTCGACGATGTACTAGACACCTGAGAACTTGAGTGTCTTCCAAATATTTCATCTGAAAGAAACATGAGACTACACAAATTTAAAGTTTTCTATACCTTGCTGTAATATTTAAAAGATTCTTCGCCGTCTGTCATCAGTGATGGAATTGATTTTTTTCGCATAGGATCAACTTGCAGGAAGAAATCGTCAATTTCGCGAGCAAAACTCTTGTGATTTAGTGCATTTTTCGACGAGGAAATCATGAATCCTAAAAGAACATGGCGAATTTTTCCGCTGCAGCGCGATGTGAAGTCTCCTATATCTCCAGAGATTGTTGTCACAACACAATCTGACAAATCAAAAGTGCTATCAATCTGTAACTGTCCAGCCATATGCTTAATAATCCCACTATTTGCTGTCGGACTGTAACAAGATAAAAAATCATTGACTTCTTCTGAAGTCCAATCTTCGCATCCAGTTAAAAGCTTTCTATATTCCAGTACAGTTTGTTTTGTCGGTAGACTATTCATATAAAGATTCAGTGTGTCCGAATCGAGATAAATCGCTCCAAACTGGTTATCTAAAATGAAAAAATTATATTTTCAAAAAAACGTTCCTGTTTACCACTAGAAAATAGACGGAAGCCATTTTCTGTTCCAAAAGATGCGAGTGATTCTGGTGTTGTCACGCTCACGCGGCCCCTCTTCGACTTCACACAATCCGGCTGATACTTCATCTGGTTTCTGATTTGGCGGGTACTGAAATTAAGGGCTCCTGATTTTAGATCTTCGAAAGCTCCTTTCACAGTTCTTCCTTTCAGGGACCGATGAATCAATTGACACTCTGCTTCTGAATATTTGAATTTTATATAAACGCTTTTATTAGAGCAAAGTTGTTCTTACCAGTTAGTCTGTTAGGTTTTGATGATTTCAGAACATCGTAGTCCATTCGACCATTTTGAGACACGTATACTACGAAAAAGAACTCTTCCTTCTCCGGATAAATCTCAAATTTTTTGAAAGCATCATCATTAGGATTGATGCAATTGTAATATCTGTAAGAGCATCCATCGTATTCGATCTTTCTGGGTCTCGGACGGATTTTTCTACCTGAAAAGAAAATAATAAAAATGAATTGAAAATCAGCTGATCCTACCATTCGTTGTCTTCCACCAAGACAGTCCATCACAAAGTTTATGATCTTCGTTTCGAAATTTTGCGAATTTCACTGACGGTTCCGAAAACACTGGCAAACGAAAATCGGTGAGATTTGACGATGTCACACTGAAACAGATAACTTGGTTTTAAAATTAAATTTTCTTTTTCAACTGACCAGTTTTCAATGATATCTTTCATCGTTTTAACTGAAAATTTGTTCGAATAGGGACCTGTTCTCCATATGCCATCCTCATCCAAATCAAGCGAAAATTCTTTTATTGGTTCTCCTTGGGCAGATATTTTCGTTTTTTCTGGTTCATTTTGGCCGTCACTCGACATTTTAATTTCAGAATCACTCTCGTCCATTTTGAGATTTTTGTAAAATCACAAAAACGTTCTGAAAAAAAGATGAAAAACGAAAAAATAGGACAATTGGTAGTTCAAAAATACGTCATCGATTACGTCATATGACGTCATCGATTACGTCATACGAAAAATGAGTCTAGGACTGAAAATGGTGACCAGAACTACTGTGATAGCCAAAAATTCATAATCTTCCACAAATTTCTGCAAAAAAAAAATACGAAAAACAGTCGAAAATCGTTGAAAATCGAGAAAATAGGAGGAAAAATAAAAAAATTGCCTTCGTAAATCGACAACGGCCCCTGGCCTAGAAAATTCCGGAAACTCTTCCATGAGAATTTCGAGCAATTTTTTGGGATTCAAACACAGAACTCACAGTAAAAGACACATTTTCGAGAAAAAAAAGCAAATTTCTTATATAAAAAATTGTTTTAAACACTGACAGATAAAGTA